TCCCCTCCCTCCCCAGTCCCCCCTCGACGCACCCTCCCTCCCCCCATCTCCCCCTCTCCCCACTCCTTCCAACACCCGCTCCCTTCCCTCATCTGTCCCCACTCTGGGGCCTGCTCCCCATCCTGTCTCCCACGGCAACAGGTGGCCCGGCCTAGCCACACACCCCCAGAGCCCAGGCAGACCAGGATGCTGACGCAGGCGGTGAGGGCCAGGGAGCCCAGCGCCATGCGCTTGTCGGCCTGGCCCCATATGGTGCACTCAAGGACAGGGGGGCAGGCCGGGGTGCCGGGGAAGCAGGGGAAGGTGGGCTCTGATACCATGGGCAGCTGCCGGGCCAGCAGGGCCCACAGGAATCCGACCTCCGTGGCCAGCAGCACAGCGATGCACACGGTGATGACGCCGGCACACCAGGGCGGCTGGGCAGCCATGTTGGGTCCTGCCGGCGGCCCGGTCACACCACTCAGGCCAACCGTGTTGTCTTTGGGAGCCATGTTGGTCGTGTCAACCAGTTTTGGGGTGGCGGCCATGTTGGAGTCTCCCACCGGCCTGGGCTCGGCAGCCATATTGGATTTAGCAGCCGGGTTGGATTCCCCTGCCAGCTTGGGTTTAGTGGCCATGTTGGATTCTCCCACCAACCTGTGCCCAGCAGCCACGTTGGATCTGGTCGATGCCATGTCCTCCTGCCCCCCCTGGCCCTGACAATCTTCCTGGGGGTACAGCATTCTCATGATGGTGATGGGGAGCAGGGCGATGAGGAAGGAGAAGCCCCAGGTGGCCGTGACGGGGTCCAGGAAGTGGCGGTTGTAGCAGACGGAGGTGCAGAAGCGCCGGTTCTCCTCCTCCTGGCTGCGGTTCCAGGCACACGCCAGATCATCCCGCGCGCTCTCCCACGGCGAACTGGCGAAGTACAGGGCCAGCAAGCGCAGACCCAGCAGGAAGAACCAGTGCTCCAGGCCCTGCCACCGCAGAGCCCCCGACATGGCCGACAGCACCGGGTGCAGCAGGCTCACCAGCGTGGAGACAATGATCAACATCTGCCCAGAGAGAGACATGGAGTGGAGTGGTGTGGAGGGCACAAAGGGGATGGCCACATGCCACACACCCAGAGAGAGCTAATGGGCTTTCATTCCTTTGGGTCTTTCTTTTCTTGCTTTCTTTCTTTCTTTCTTTCTTTCTTTCTTTCTTTCTTTCTTTCTCATTCCCTGATTTTGTTCTTTCTTTCTTTCTTGTTTGCTTTCTTGCTGTCATTCTCATTCCCTTCCTTTCTTTTTCTTTCTTGTTCCACTATTCTTTCTGCCTTTGGCTTGGCCCAGCTCCCTGTATTATTTCCCTCTCTCCCTCCCTCTCTCCCTCCCAAACAGACCTCTTCCCAGATACCTTTTTCTGATATTCTCTCTTCTACCAGTCTCTATCACCAATCTCTTCTCTCCTTTGTCCAAGGATCCTCTATCGTTCCAGGCTGCTGGCTCCGTGCCTGGGGGTGGAGGACCCGAGTTGCTTCCTTCAGCACAGGGGCACACCCGAGCCAAACAGCCAGAGAAGGAGAAGCTGAAGCCAGAAGTGAAATCCCAGAGCTACTCCCAAGACATCAACACCTTCCCACATAGCTGGCTCCCTGCCCTTTCCCGGATCAGATTCAGCTCCACCTATTCTGGGAGGGATCGCTGCATGAACAGAACGCAGGAGTCCCGCCCAAATACTCAAAGGTGGAAGCAGAAGCCCAAAGGACAGCACCACAGCCAACTTCCTGCTCTAACCCACTAGACTCCCACTCCCCTCCCAGACCTGGGGAGAGAACCCAGGAGTCCTGGGTCCCAGCTCCCCCGTCTCTAACCACTAGACCCCACTCCCGTCCTGGAGAGCCCAGCTAGCTGAAGGTACTTAGATGGCTTAGGTAGGTACTTAGGTGGCTACTCGGAAATGCCTAAGGGGATCATCATGGGCAATCCCATGATTGCCAAAAGCTCATAGCCCCCTCACTTTGCACAACCTTCCTTCCACCTCAGACCATGCCATGTAGCCCTCCAACCCCTCCACCCCTTCCCCCCTCCAATCCCACTCCCTTCCGCCACCTCTGCTGCCCTCCTGCCCCCCTCCCCAGCCCCCTCCCCTCTCCTCCCAGTATGCCCCATTCCTGGTCCCCCCTCTCATCCTCCAGGCCCCTGTCCACCTCTCCCCGGCCCTTCCGTTCCCTGTTCACCCCTGTCCTGGCATCCACCCCACACTCCCCACACTCCCAGGGTCCTCTCAGCACCCTGCCTTCCCCCATCTCCCCCTCTTGACACCCATCACAGCACCTCAGGTGTCCCCCCTCTGGGTTCTGCTCCCGCTCCTGTCTCCCACGGCAACAGGTGGCCCGGCCTAGCCACACACCCCCATAGCCTAGGCAGATCAGGATGCTGAAGGAGGCCGTGAGGGCCAAGATGACCAGAGCCATGTGCTTGTCGGCCTGGCCCCGCACGGCACACTCGAGGACAGGGGGGCAGGCCGGGGTGCCGGGGAAGCAGGGGAAGGTGGGCCCTGATACCATGGGCAGCTGCCGGGCCAGCAGGGCCCACAGGAATCCGACCTCCGTGGCCAGCAGCACAGCGATGCACACGGTGATGACGCCGGCACACCAGGGCGGCTGGGCAGCCATGTCGGGTCCTGCCGGTGACCCAGTCACACCACTCAGGCCAACCGTGTTGTCTCTGGCAGCCACACTGGTCGCACCAACCAGCTTTGGGGTGGCGGCCATGTTGGAGTCTCCCACTGGTCTGAATGTTGCAGCCATGTTGGATTTGGTGACCATATTGGATTCCCCAAGCAGTTTAGGTCTGCCATCCACCTTGGATTCTCCCAGCAGCCGGACCGTGGCAGCCATGTTGGATTTCGTGGCCATGTTGGATTCTCCAACTAGCTTGGGTCTGGTGGCCCTGGAGGATTCTACCGACGTGTGCTCGGTGGCTTTGTTGCATGTGGCCGTCGCTGTGACCTCCTGCCCCCCCTTGCCGTGAGGATCCTTTTTGGGGTACAGCATTCTGATGATGGTGATGGGGAGCAGGGCGATGAGGAAGGAGAAGCCCCAGGTGGGCAGGACGGGTACCAGGAAGTGGCGGTTGTAGCAGACCGAGGTGCAGAAGGTCCGGGTCTCCACCTCCTGGCCGGGGCTCCAGGCACACGCCATATCCTGCTGTGCACTCTCCCACGGCGAACTGGCAAAGTACATGGCCAGCAAGCGCAGGCCCAGCAGGAAATACCAGTGCTCCAGGCCCTGCCACAGCACAGCCCCCGACAACGCCGACAGCACCGGTTGCAGGAGGCTCACGAGGGTGGACACAATGAGCAACATCTGCTGGGAGACAGGAATGACGTGGAGTGACACGGGGGACAAGGACAGGACACTAACACAATCCACAAACCACCCACGGGAGAGGTAGCTAGCGGCTTTCATTCCTTTGGGTTCTTTCTTTCTGTCTGTCCCAGGGCTGGGCGACACTGAGACCGGACACCAGGATAGCTGCACACCCCTGAGTGACGTAGTTAATCCGACCTAACCCCCGGTGCAAACAGCGCTAGGTCAAGGGCAGAAATCTTCTCTCCACCTAGCTGCTGCCTCTCGGGAAGTGGATTCAGTAGGTCCACAGGAGAACCCCTCCCGTAGGCGTCAGTCGTGTCAACACCGAGGAGCTACAGCTGTGACACTTCCGCGTTTCAAGACCTGCCCTGAATTAATTCCCATTTAAACTTCCTTTCTCTCTTTCTCCCTCCCTTCTTCTCTTCATTTCGCCTTCGTCCTCATTCTTCCCATTATTGTAATAATTATTTGTTATGGATATTTTTGGCTGCACCTACAGACCTGGACCAAGTTCAGGGCCCCGATGGCTCCAGGTGCTGCACCGATTTTCCCTGCCAAGACCGAGGTCTGGCTCAGCACTTTGCTGAGCACTGAGCAGACGCCCCTCCACCCCCTCAGGCCAAGATCAGGGTCCCCGTCTCCCCGGGCCCTGCACAGACGCCCCTCCACCCCCTCAGGCCAAGATCAGGGTCCCCGTCTCCCCAGGCCCTGCACAGACGCCCCTCCACCCCCTCAGGCCAGGATCAGGGTCCCCGTCTCCCCGGGCCCTGTGCAGACGCACAGTGAGAGGCAGTCCCTGCCCCCAAGATCCCCCAGTCTTTTTTTCTCATTCCCTCGTACTTTCTGTCTCAGCTCAGCCCAGCTTCCAGTACCATTCCCCACCCACCCACGCACACCCCATTTCCCTGATACCTTTGGCTGAGATTCTCTCCTCTCTCACTCTCTGTCACTCTTTTCTCTCCTTCGTCCTGGGATCCTCTCTCTCGCCGGGCTATGGGATCCAAACCCCAGGGTGAGGGGAGCTGAGATTCTACTCGCAGGACCAGCGTACATCGAGTAAAGCAGCCAGAGAAGGGGAAGCCGGAGACTGAGAACGATGCCAGAGCTATCATCAAACCATCAACATCTTCCCACACAGCCGGCTCCCCGCCCTTTCCCAGATCAGCTGGCAAAGGGATTATCTCTGCTCCACCTATTCTGGCAGGGATCACTGCTGGGATAGAGCCCAGGAGTCCTGCCCCAACTCCCACGGTGGAAGTAGAAGCCAGAAGTCCAGATCTCAGCCAACTCTGCTCCGATCCACCAGACCCCACTCCCCTTCCACAACCAGGGATAGCACCCAGGAGTCCTGGCTCCCATCCCCCCCTGTTGTAATCCCCCAGACCCAACTGCCCTCTCAGAGCCAGGGAGAGAACCCAGGTGTCCTGGTGCCCAGCCCCCCTGCTGTAATCCACTAGGCCCCACTCCCCTCCCAGAACTGGGAATAGAAAATGTTAAGTGTAATTTTGAAGAAATAGGAAAAAAAACATACCTATGTTTGTATTGACAGAGCAAAGTGAGGCTGTACACTCAATTCAATGGCATCCCTCTGCCCCACCCCAGGGGTGGCCACATCTCAATGTAGTAGCAGGATTTTATGTTTGTATTTTGTATAATTTAAAATAAAAAATAAAGAAGAATCATGTCGCAGGTATTAAATATACGGTGTATGGTTTGACCATATCCTGCCAGCCGCCCTTTCTGAAAGCAGCAAGGAACGGCCTAATGGGCCACTGGTAGAGATGCATCTGTGTCTGGGCTGATTTCAAGGCAGTAACAGACCTGTGAGGGTCACCACTTAGCGGTAGGTTTAGCATTGGAAAATAAGAAGAAGAATGCAATCGTTGTTTTCTTGCATTGCAGTTCGATGTTCCTGTTCAAATGTTCTGTGTAAATCAATTCTGGTTTGTGTGTGAATGAGGAATGGGTGTGTTAAAAAATAAGTGTGAAGGCCATTGCTGAACCAGGTGTTCTAGGGAGGAACTAAAGACAGACGCAAGGGCGCTAGGAAGTTGCAACACGCCTCTATTGACATGTCAGAGGACGGCAGATTGACGACTCTAAAGATGAGACAGGCACCTATCAAAGCTGTGACCTAAACCAGCCTGGGGTAACTCGCTAAAAACGTAATAAAAGAACAAAATTAAAAAACAATTAAAAATACAAGCACTCATCAAACAACAATTGATTACAGCATGATGGTGCAAAACTCATTGGTCCCAATGAAGGAAAATCACTATATAAACAGGGGGCCTTGCCATGAAACTTTGGGTTTGTCCTGCCAAGACTTCCCCGGAGTCTTGTCATGACCGACAGAACCCGGCTCCTCCCTACCCATGATCAACCTAGCTGGCCACTAGATTGATCCAGACTCTGGCCTGGTAACGATAACATCGACTGGCAGGACAGTGTGCGTGTGTGTGTGGTGTGATTGAATGCCTATGCTAACTGTTGTATCTTCAATAACTGCGGTGTATTGCCTTTTTCCCCTGAAAAAAATCCCATGTGCTTCTTATAAGCATAACATAGCATAATACCAGGAAAGGGGTACCTGTATAAACAGCCCTTATGCTCTACCCCATGGCTGAATGTCAGACCTGACTTATGCTGGCTTTGCACCTTGAACCAAAGCAGACAGCACCGTGGCTTCGAACCACTTGATATGCTTTCCACTCTCCCACAGCTTCACCCCATCTTGCTCAGGTTTAGCTATTCTTCGTCTGTGAGCTGATCTCGTCCCAGAGCACAGCCACCTTGTCGGTAATGACTACAACGCCGCAATGCTACAGACACACGGGGTAATCAGAGACTCTTATTGCAATTCGACCGAGGCAGGGCCGGGTGGATTATTTCCCACAAACAATTTATTACCAGAAAAAAATGCACTTGTGGGCAACTGAAGCTCTTCATAAATTCAGAGAATTCTGAAAAACGCTGAAGGTTTCCTTTCAGGATTTTCAAAATAACACGTTGTGGCTTTTTCATTTTGAAATGGCTTTTCAGGTAGAAATTCAGGTAAATTGAACCAAAAGATGAAAAGAAGCACAAAAAATGGTCAAAAACACCCAAAAATTAAATATTCTGGCTTTTGGTTTCCAAATGAAGGTTCTTTTTCAAAGTTAACTAATTAACCCCTTCCTCCCCAAAAAATAACAAAAGGGGTAAAACCACTCATAACCAAAACACTCTCTTGCATCTGAAGAAGTGAGGTTCTTACCCACGAAAGCTTATGCTCCCAATACTTCTGTTAGTCTCAAAGGTGCCACAGGACCCTCTGTTGCTTTTTACAGATTCAGACTAACACGGCTACCCCTCTGATACAAAACACTTTGACTTCCTATTTTGAAACCACATTTTGTTTCAAGATGAAGCCAGATTTGACAAAACAATATGACAAAAAATGCACAAAAAAGCCAATTAACACCCTCCCAGCCCTCACAAAAATAAATATTTCAACTTTACATTTCAAAAAACGTTTTGATTTGAAATTTATCCGGATTTAACAAAAATCAAAAGCGCTTAAAGGCACCCAAAAAGAAACAGTTTCTTCTGCCCAAATCATAGTATTTCGCTTGACAAGCTGTCGCGGAGTGTGCGGGACTCACGGCCCTGTACCCCCGGCTTCCTGTGATTCACCGTGACTCTCAGCCAGCCAGTAAAGTGGAAGGTTTATTGGAGAATAGGAACACAGTCTACAGCACAGCTCGTAGATACAACCAGGACCCCTCAGTCAAGTCCTTTTGGGGAGTGCAGGGAGCTTAGACCCCAGCTTGGGGTTCCCTGTGTTGCACCTCCCAGCCCACAACTGAAACTCCCAAATCCCTCCAGCAGCTCTCTCCCCTCCCCTCTGCTCCTCCTCTCCTTTGTCCATCTCCCGGGCAGAAGATGTCAAGTCTCCCACCCCCCTTCAGAGTAGCAGCCGTGTTAGTCTGTATCCGCAAAAAG